TTTTTTACGAGGGGTGCCCATAACCTCAAAAAATACCCAACCTACAACCATTTACATCTCAACACACATATCTATGACATTTGAATAAATATATATTTTCATATGTCATACACAGTCATCATAATGTGAGGATGTGATGATAAAAAAAATGAAAATGAATGAGATGAGGAGACGACAAAGTAGATAGATAGGTACGGTAGAAGAAAATATGCTCTCATGAACTTTTACCGCACACCGAAAAATTAATTTAAATTGCTTTTTTTATTTTATACAATAAATAAATTTTCATTTCTGTTCTGATGCTCGTCTCGATGATGCTTGTCGCTTTTTATGTGTGGATGTCCTTCTCCCAATGGGCGGGCAAATTTTGGTATTTGTGAAATAGACAAAAAATGATGTTTTGTGGACAATAAAATAATGAAAATCAAATTTTTGTGAGCACTTTTTTTTTGATGAAGAGTCACTTGCTTTTTGTAGCTTTGAAAATGAATTTTTGCATGGCTTTATTGAATCAAAGCTTTGATAAAGTTGCTGGATTTATGAAATTTCAATTCATATTATTGAAAAAACTTAAAATTGAGTTCAGTTTTGTCTAGTTTTAGTTTTCCTTAATGTAAAACTTTTCCGATCCCGATAACTTTAGTATCTAGGTACACAAGTTAAGCCAGGGGTCACCTGCATAGTGAAGTCATCGATGGCTGAAAGTCCTCTACATGTAGGAAGTCATTTTCACCTTCTTTGCAAAACTAGAACGTCCCTCAACTATTCAAAACTCACCTTCCATGCATCCTCAAAAAAAGCACATCAAACTTTTTCTTTACCTACAGTAGCGGGCAAAAGTATCCGGACAAGAAGTTTTTCATACATTTTGGTTGTTCGTTTGTCAAGTTATGCTTGGATACTTTTGGCATACTGTATCTATTCCTCCAACAAAAAGATAAATTGTGTGTGTGTGAACAAACTTTTAATGCATTCAACAAATGCATAGATTGTTGGAATGCATCATTTGTGGCTCGCTCGCCCATTTCATGTCACTGAGTTGTATTCAATGGGAAAAAATTTAAGCTCAGATGTGCATCGGATGTGAGAACGAAGATGAATTAAACTTTATAGTGAAGCTATAAACAATCGTTTTTTATGGATCAAATCTACAGTTCAGGGGCGCAGCTAGGATTATTGGATAGGGGATAGGAGGAAAGTGTACAATTTATACAATTGTGAAAGACATGAAAAGGGTTTTCTCCTATTTTTTCTGTTTAAAAAATGCTGTGACAGTTTCAAGATAAACCGAAGAATTTAAACATAAATTAATTTATGATTATGTGTCACAATTTTTTCTCCTTAATGTTGTTCCCCCCTTGACTCAAAGCTGATCAAATCAAGCTTATTTCACTACAAAGCACAGAAAATTTAAGATTTCAGCACCATAAAAATTCCTTACATCCATCCCAACATTTTTTTTCCTCAGTCACAAACCCCAAAAATGCCCCCGTACACCATAATTCTATCCCTTTTTTGTGCACATACACGTTTCATGAGAATAAATTGCTTTCAATTTATTTCAAAGCACTCAACAGCTTCAAAAATAGCTTTAAGATCTTTCACATTTATTTTGCTTCCCTTCACAGCCTGACGCTTTGCTTTGTTCTTTTTTTTTTGTTTTTTGTGTTGCTATATACCCTTTTTTTTTGAAACCCAACAAAAAACAATGGCAAGTTGTGCATGTTGGCGACGATGAATGAAACAATTGGCACAGCGACATTTCAGCTGTCATTATGTGACTTCGAGCTTTTGTGTGACTTGTTTGTTATTTTTTTTTCACCATTATCATCATAATCATCATCATCATAATAATAAAAGTCATTAGAGCAGTTCTCGGAATGCAACTTTTTTTCGCTTTGGCTCATGCTTCATGCATCAAAGGAGGAAATTGTGCGTTCTACATCGCAGTGGTAATTATTTGAAAAAAAAAATGAAATAATTTTCAGACATTGCACAATAATCATGATTCTCATAATAAAGAGAAAATTTCTGCTTCTGATTTTCTCTGCTTTTCATTCTACGTACGGAATTAAGCAACTGTTTGTGAAAACTGTTCAAATGAAATTCTGCTGCCAAAAACAATTTTCATATATTTCTAGTATATTTTTTTTTCGCGTTGTTGGCACTTTTTTTTGTTGTTAAAAAAAATCCTTTTTTACTTTTGCTGTTTTGAGATTAGAGATGGAGATTGGTGAGGATAATGGAATAGAGATGATAGAAAGAAGGGGAATGTTTTGAGTCTTCGGTACATAGAAATAGTTTCAAGGGCAATCTTAGAGACTCTTGGATCAACTATCGATGCAGTTAAACTCTGAAGCAGTTTTGAATTTTAACGGTGACTAGGGCAGGGACTATGGTGAGCCGTGATACTAGCCTCAGACTTTTTGATAGGTTTTCTACTAAGAAACTTAAAGTTTTTACGTAAACGCAGAAGAAAAACAGCAAAATGGGGAAACAATTAATGGCTTTCATTTACACAAGGGGGAAACAACCTGGTGAGAACAGATTTAAACTATATTTGTTCATCAAAGAGGTGAACAGGGGCGTAGCCAGGGGGGCCATAGGGGGCCCGGCTCCCGCTACAACAATCTGATAATTGTTTTATTAAGTATTAAGAGAGAAGAACCAGTTAATGAAGAGGAAGTGATGAAAGAAATGTCAAAATCGGCACGAAAAATTAAATTTAATGTATGAATAATGAATTAAATATTTAAACTTATCAAGAATGAATATAGATTTAAGGATACAAAATAACGGTTTTTTAATTTTTGAAAATGCCCCCCCCCCCCCCCCCCCTTAAAAATTTTCTGGCTACGCCCCTGGAGGTGAACGACATGATGGGAAAAGGTTTCAGAGCTAGATTGAATAATAATTGATAAAAACATCTAGATTATTGCGATACATTTTTTTAAGGCAATTGAACATGAATCCTGCAATATTTGTATAAAATATCATGGTACATCTCGACTATATTCTTAGTTCTTTGCTGTCCAGACAATAAACGTTTCTCAATGCTCGGTTTTGGATGACTTGAAGTGATTTTTGAAATTCCGATCAATTCGGTAAAACAAGCTTGAATACTTTTCCTCATCATGATGTTTCCCCCTTACGTAAATGGAACCAAACTTTTCGTAAAACGTAAGTAAATGTTCTGTTAAAATTTCTTGAGTTATAAAACAAAACTGTATAAAAAAACTAATTTTCTCAGCAAAAAATCTTTAATATTTTCATCACATCTCACAAAACTTAGCTTCCCCCATCCAATCCTCCAAACCCAAGCACTGAAAAAACAAAATTCATTATCACAAAAAAAAAAAATTGAATATTTCTCTCCATTTGAATTCACTACCGTATATCACATCCTCATCTTCATTTTTATTTCCTTTCAAATGAGTGAGAAACGAGGCAAGAACAACAACATGAGATCTTATGGTTATGGAACAGAAGATGTAAAAAAAATGAAAAAGCTCAGCAAATAAAATCCACAAAACAAAGTTGTTGTTATACATTTTTTGGTGAAATGAGAGATAAGATTTATGAAATTTATACCAAGTGTGCTCTTAATAATTCATATGAGCGCCATTGTGTGACTTGCTCTAACTCGCTGTTACAACTACCTCATAAAATTCACACAATTTGTGAATACCGTACATGATCTTCTTTGTTCTCAGACTTTCTTTTGTTTTTTGTAATATTTGTGTGTGTTTTGGGGGCTGTACGAAAGTTACGTAACTTCTGTTGTACCCCTTCTAGACCCCCTGCAACTTTTTAACCACAAAATATGTTAAAAATGCGTACCGAAAGTAACAGAGGTTAGAATATGGCACACCTCAGGTTACATAACATCCATCAGACTCCCCACATGTGTAGCAGTATATTTTTCTTACATTTTTCAACATTACCGATTATAATTTATTTTAATTTCTTCATAAATTACGACATAAGAAAGAAACAAACACGGAGAAGGGTTGAAGGAAAAAAAATAAAGATTATTAATGACTTTAAATTGTTCACAATAAAACTGAAATGTCATTGCAATGAATCATTCGGATTATCAAATGCAAGATGATTTTCATGATGTAGACGATAACTTTATTGCATTCTATGGAACATAAAATTGTTGTTTTGAATTGAGTTTATTGAGATTTTATTTGCATTTCCTGGGGCTGGTTTGTGTTTTTGTTGTTGGAACTGGAAGGATGATTGTAAATATTGGTAGTTATGCAAGATTTGGAGCTTTATTTGCATTTGTTTTGAGTTTATTGACTTATTTTTGATGAAGTGGCTTTTGAATACTAATTTTAACTTTTGATGTGTAAAAATGTAGCTTTTGATGTGTAAAAGTGTAGTTTTGATGTGTAATTTGTAGCTTCTGATATGTAAAGTTGTAGATTTTGATGTGTATATTTTACATTTGATATTAAGGCTACATTTTGATGAGCAACAATTCTATTTTGATATGTAAAACTTATATGTTGATGTGTAAAATTTATATTTTATATTATACCAAAGAAAATTTATTTTTTCGAGCTTTTCAAATTAATTTCAATTTCGCTACATTTTGTAATGAACACATGTAATTCCATCTAAGCTTTCAAACACTAAACTCCCTCAAAACTTCATCTCTAAAACTTCCAACTCACAACTCAACCATAAACCAAGCAAAATCCTCAAAAATGTGTTCCCACTTAAAATATTCATCAGCCAAATCGCAGATGTTTGTGAAGTTTCAACTCAAAATTGGGAAACCAGTCCCAGATGCTTCAATATTTATTGTAACAAGCAATTTTGTTCTCTTTTTTGTGCTGAATGCAATAAAAATAGTCAAAAAAAATCCGCAAACATTTGCAATAAATTTCTTTTCTCTTACGTAATTTATGAACAAATCTTCTCGAAATAAGAAAAAAAAACTAGGAAGTGAGCAAAAAAAGTATAAAGCAAATAGCAATAAAAATTACCTGCTGCTAGAAACAAACATAATAAAGGGATTCGCATCCGTGTATTCGCTAGTGTAGCGAATAACATTTTAAGTTTCACAATTGCTATCATATCACCATATACACTTAAATAAAGTTCTTGCTACTGCTATCTATATTTTGCCACTAAGCTGCTGAGCTTCCCTTTCTCCTTGCTGTATTGTTTGCTGATTTTCTTTTCCTTTACTTTTTTGTTTTGTTTCTCACACAATTCAACCGTCTCCAAGGGATTCCAATGAGCGTTATTTAATATGTTTTATTTCATCTGTTTTCATTTGTAACGAAACTTTTTTTTTTTGCTACATGCTAAAATATTTCATATTTCATCTCTCCTTTTTTCCTGCACATTTTCAAGACGAAGAACTTGCTTGCTTTTTACTTTCTTATTTCATATTTTATGATTCACTTTTTACAGCACTTTTTATTTTATTTTATATTCTTTACCGAAAAAAAGAAACTTTAGTTGTTTATTCACAGGAAGCAGCTCTTCCTCCTCCTTTTGCTTTATTTAGTGCTTCTCTGTGTGTCTCACACAAATTCACATATTGTTTTACATCTCGTAGTGTCTTTAATATGTCTTTGCATCTCGTCTGCTTTTTTTTTTATTAAATCACATTTAATCGTGAAATATGAAGAAGAATTGTATTATTGTGCTGCCTTATGTGCTTGTTACTTTGTGTTGTATGGAATTTGCTGGATGGATAAAAATGAGAAAGAAAAAAAAATGAGTGGAATTTGAAATATTTTTTACAAAGCTGATTTTTTGTGATTATGGAAAAGTTATAGTTTGGAAATTTGAACACTTTGGGTGGCTGCGGTGGTCAGTTGAGAAAAGTAAAGTCATTTAGGAGCCGTTCACTTATTACGTTACGCAAAAAAAACTTTTTTTCACCCCCCCCCCTCCCCCCCCTTGTTACAATATGTTACAACTCACAACACCTCTCCCCCCCCCCCCCCCCCCTGAACGTTCATAATTTATTTTATTTTGATAAAAAGGTTAATAATTTTAAAAAATGTTTTTGGTGTGAATTTGTAAACAAATTTTTTTCGTGAACTTTTTTTTGAAAGACAGACTACAGTTAGAACGTTACATATTTCTTGACCCCCCCCCCTTATGTTACATTTTGTTACAATTTTTCAAACCCCCCCTCCCCCCTAAAATGCGAACGTAATAAGTGAACGGCCCCTTAGTAAAGCCAACGTTGAGTAAAAAGTAAGAAAACTTCAATAAGTACTGTGGATACACTGATAAAAAAAATTAACAATGCATTGTTACTTTGTATGAAAATTTTAACAATGTCATGATTAAAATAGCGTTGACCATGAAATTGTTAATTTTAACAATGACTATTGTAAAAAAAATTGTCAACAATGAAATTGTAAAATTTAACAATCATATTGTTAAAAAAAAATTTCGAAGAAAAAAATGGTCACCCATCCAAAAAGAAGATAAAATTTTGTTGCTTAACTTCCAATGTCGTCTGTTTAATCGTAATCATATTTCTTAATTTTTTATCTGATTTGCAAGTGACAAAATAATTATTTAAATAAAAAGGTAAATTTTATAAATAGTGAAAATGAAAAAGATTTTAATTATACTTTTTGTCAAACATCAATAGAAAGTATTGAAAAATAAATTAATTAACGAAAATTATTTCAAATACAACATTTTTTAATAAAAAATTAATTTTTTATAAATTTTTATAGTTCTTAAGTACACAGGAATAAAACTCACTTTTCATACTGAATTTTTATTCAATTAAGATTATTCAAAACTTAAGTAAAGTTAAATTATTTAAAATTTAATATTAACGATGACCATTGTAAAATTAACAATCACCATCGTTACGTTACAATCTTATCGTTAATTGATTGTAAAAATAATTTTAACGATGAAATTGTTAACTTTTTTTTTCGTCATTTAAATTTAACAATGTCATTGTTAAATCTGGTTTACAACGAAATAACAATGAAAAATGTTAATTTTTTTTTATGAGTGTATGGATCAAAGTGAGATAAGGACATCGTTGGACGAGTGGGTTCGTTTTTTGAGGTTATGGGTTCGATTCCTATCGAGCCCGACTTGTTTTACATTAGTATACACATATGGTAGTTATAGGGAGATCTACATGTATTCCATTCTTCCTACTTAACACTCATTCATGATGAGATATCAAGAGCTGATTTCTAAGGATCCGGAGTATCCCAAGTCTTAGAATCAAATATCTTTAAACGTGTCGCTGTTTATGGACGTCTAGACCATGAATAAGGTTCGTGTCTGACTAGGTTAGTGACCACAATTAGCCCTAGAAATCGTTCCTTGTAGAAGTAGATTAATAAACTTAAATAATATTCAAAGAATTCAGTTTTAAGTAGTTCCTGGTGCAGTCCTTCTTAGACTAAGACTTAAATTAGTTCGATCTATCTAGCAGTCGTTGATAAATCATGTCCAACTTGGAAGGGCGAGGAAAAAAGTGATTAAAAATAACAATTCTTGATGAACGTCATTTATGAACAACATTGTGCAAAAAAATGCGCTTTAGCCACTGCTATCACTTCCCCCAAAAACGTACCAAACTCGAATGTAATTCTTTTTCCTTCTTACTTTGCCTTACATGCATAAAGCATAGTTTACAGCATTCATTTTAAAAATGTAATATGACTGTATATATCCATGTACATACATATGTATAGTCGAGTTCCAAAGCATAAAAAGGGCCACATAGCTTTATTGCTGAGATTTGCTATCTGCCCTCATATCGTACATGAATAAAATTCTTTTTTACAGTGCTCAGCAAAGATTCTTTTCATTTCTTGTTTTTTTCTAGCTGATCTAAAATGTTTTACATTATTTCATTACTTAATTTATTCATACATATTGGATTAAAGTAATTTCATGCTAAAATGTGATGTCTCTACACTTTTTTTTTGCTACATGAAAATTCGTTGATTCGTGCAATATTTTAGGATATTTTATGCTCATGAAAAATTCTTTTTCTTTAATAATATTAAAAATTTTAAACAGAATAGAAGTTTATTTATGACATGAGCATGATCATATGCCAGAAATTTTCATCCCCTTCTATCCTTTCACACAACTCTCAGCTTATAGCTTCTTTTTAGTTACCGCTTGACACAACATAACAGCTAGTAGCGTTATATATTATATATGAGAATATTAATACAATAACTGTGTGAGGAAATGGGAACAGAGGAAGGAAATTTTTGTGGAATTTTGGCCCAGTGGGGAGAAGTTATTTTGTATAGCTTGCATTTTTTTTGAGTTTTATATAAATTGTGATTAATTTTTAAGTTTTCAATTGTTAAAAGCAGGGTTGCGATACAGGCACCTGTGCACAGATGAGAACCGTACAATTCCTTGATAATTTATGGGATTTCGTAAGAATTTGTATGGTTTTATTTGAAAACATTATAAGGTATCAGGGAATTGTACGGTGAGTTTTCTCCCAACCTCCGAATGATGAGGTTGTGTGGAATTGTGCAATACTTCAAAATTAATTAATTACGCGTAAGAATAAGTCACAAACCTACTGGAACTGTCTTCAAAGTAACAAAGAACAAAGATACCAAGGAGAAAACTCAGCAAAGTCGCGATTTAATTAAATTTTGGATATAAATTGAAATTGGAAAAAATGTGTAAATTTTGCACATAATCTAGATAAAACGGAATTGATCATCATCGGAATACCAAAGAACATTTAATTACATTGACAAATCACGATCGGCGGCAGTTGTGAGGAGAATCAACTGTTTCACGTGGGTTTTTTGTGTTTAACCAACAATCGTTGACAAGAAGGTTCTATCATAACCATAACCTAGACATTGAATATTATTGGAATAAAACGGATTATCGTCAATTGTGAGGAGAATTTGTCTCGCGATGGGTTTTGTGTGTTTCCTCATATATCGCGGGCAAGTTCTATCAATCAATTGGTACTCAATCTTAATAAAGTTAATTAAGTAGAAGAAGAATAAGAATAATAAGAAAAAGAAGAAGAAGGAATTGTACGGTTCTCACCTGTGCACAGGTGCCTGTATCTCAATCCTGGTTAAAAGCAGTTTAAAGTACTGGAATTGAGTCGAAACAGTGTAAACAATCTTGAAGCTAGCGTTAGCATTACTTCAAACGAAGTTGACTTCAACTAGCATGAAGTTGGCGTTTCTTAAGAAGCAGTTGGTACGGTTAGGTTCAAATAGCCTGATTAACCTGAACTTGGCTTTATTTGATCTGAATTTGAAGTTATTTGAGTTAAAATTTGCATTTTTGACTAGACCAACTACACAAATTTAGCATTAATGTGCCAAAAATTACACAAAGTTCTTTAAATTTCCAGAAAAATCTCAAAACAGTTCAATGACATTCAATATTTAAAATAAATTTAAAACTTTCAATCTTCAAGTCATTAAATTCCTTAGAATACAATCCTACATGTTGCACAGATCTCCCGCAGAGAGAAGACACAAAATTGTCATGCAAGAATCAACAAAAAAATTGAATCCTTTTTATAGCAAAATATGCAAGAATCTGATAAGTTTGACATTTACAAAATCATTTTACGAGTAACAACATGAAATAAACTCAAATTTATGAGGAAAGCAGACAACTTTTCAATTGAATATCCTTTCAATTACACAGCAGTGGGATTGACATTTGTTTGATATTTGATATTCAGCAAACAACAACAAAAAAAAAAGTCGAAAAATAATTGAAAATGATGAAAATAAAATTCCTAAGCCTAAAGAAAAGGCTCAGATTTATAGGCTGAGAGTTGTGTCAAATTTCATAGAATTTTCCTTCTTCTTTTATTAACTGGGGATGTCTTGGGAGTTATTTATTTAAATTGAGTCTGTTTATTGTGTTTGAATTCTTAAAGACTGTCGGAAGGCTTTAAAACATTTAGATGAGAATGATAAACAGATATTTTTGGGAAGTTGGCATAATTTTCTATTTTATATTTAGACACTTAGCTTGACTGCATGTAGAGTAGATTAGCTGAATTCTAATAAGGTTTAGTTGAGATCAGCTCGGTTTAGTTCGATTCTAAATAGATAGATTCATATTCAACTCAATCTAGCTCGATATACAAAAGATAGATGCTTGCTCAGCTCGGAATAGCTCGACCCCAACGACTGCAAACAAGAACTCATTTTCGGAAATAGGTACTTCATTTTCGAACTTGATTTGAATTTAAAATTTCCGTTGAAAATATTTGTTTACATTTCTTAGTCTTTATTGAATTTATAAAATTTCATTTTTTTAAAATAGTCAGAAATTGTGTAATTACTGGTTGTAAAGGAAAGAAAACCAATAAAATACCTTTCTTTGAACTTCCAAAAAGCTCTGTGCATAAAGATAAGTGGATTGAATTTCTTAAATTGCATAATATTGAATATTGCTGTAAAAAAATATTTCTTCTGTATTCTTGAATTTATTTATAGACAGCTTAATTTTTTTACCTTATGTTCTGATCCTTTCTTTAACCAGAAATTCATCAATACAGTAATTGCACAAATTGAAGTCGATTTTGAACATTGTCAAGATAAAATTGATAAATTATTAAAAGTTTTTGTTGAATTTAGAGTAAAATTACTAAAATAAATATATTTTTATTAATATCCTAACGATCATTTCTTTTTTAAAAATTTTAATAGTTCGAAACAGTTCGAAATTT